AAATTCTAGTTCTTCTACTTGCTATGGCAGGTAAGTAGTCACTTAACCTCTCTGACTTTCAGTTTCCTCATCTATAAAGTGTGGGTAACAATAATTACACCAGGGGAAAGAAGGAAATAAGCCCATAATATGCCAGACACTTTGCTAAATGCTTTACAAATATTATCTTTTTTTTTGATCCTCACAACAGCCCTGTGAGATAGGTGCTATTATTATCCCCATTTTACAGTTGTGGAAACAGGCAGGCAGAGGCGAAATGACTTGCCTAGGACCACACAGCTAGTAAATGCCTGAGGTCAGATTTGAACTTGCCTCTTCCTGATTTTAGGCCCAGTACTGTATCTACTGTACTACCCAGCTGCTTTCTGACCTACCAACCTCACAGGTTTGTTATGAGGAAAGTGTTTTGTAAACCTCATGGTATTATAGAAAAATATAAGCTATTATTCTATGTCTTTATCCAAGTCATTGATTTGAAAAAAAAAAAAAGCTCAAAATCACAGGACTGAAACCTGATCTACTCCTTTAGAGGCCTCCTTCTAAGCTGGCATTGACCTATTAGATAAGTCATCTAGTCCAATCCCCTCAACTGGAGCCCATGAAGTTAAATGACTTGATCGCAATCACACAGACAGTAAGTGGCAGAGCAGATCTGAATCCCAGGCCTTTGACTCCAAATCCAGGACTATTTCCACTATAACAGCCTCCTAATGATTACTCTTTGAGTCTGGTTGTTCAACCAACACCCTGAGAGTGAGATATCTCTGAGGCTCAGTAACCTCGTCTTTTGTTAGCAGGCTCTATCGCCCCTTTGTGTTCTCCCCATGCTGTTCCCAAAGTGATCTTTTGAAGGCATGGGAATAACCACGTCAGCACAGTTGGGTAGCACAGTGCCAGGCTTAGAATCAGGAAAACTCATTTTCATGAATGAAAATCCAGCCTCAGACACTTATGAGTGACCCTGGGCAAGTCACTTAACTCTGTCTGCCTTAGTTTCCTCATCTGTAAAATGAGCTAGAGAAAGAAATGCCAAACCACTCCAGTATCTTTACCAAGAAAACTCCAAATGGGGTTATGGAAAGTCAGACACAACTGAAATGACTCAAAACCAACATGACCACATCATTCTTCTATTCAATAAATTCCATTGATTCCTCATTTATTCTGGAGTCAAATACAAATTCCTCTGTTTAGTACTTAGAGCCCTTTCTAATCTGGCTCTGACCTGTTTTTTTCTGGTATTACTATATATTATTATACATCTCACACGCTATGGTCCACCAAATTGGTTTTCTTGCTGTTCCTTACACAGGATACTACATTTTTTATCTCCACATCTTTGTAGGGGCTGGACATTCCATGCCTGGATGCATGGAATTGGTTGCTGTCCTTTGTTCTCGAAGAAGACCAAAATGACATCACTATTCCGGAATGACATTACAGTGTGTCCGACTGTGGCCGATCAGCCCAAAAGAAGCTTGGCACGCTCTACCACAGATCTGGCACAAATACCCCATGTGAACATTTGGGGTGGATTCTCTACATTTGCATATCTCGCGTTACTTTTGACCTTATATAGTAAACTTTTCTAGACCTCCTCTCCCCCCCAATTATCTTGTGTTTCTTTTGTATATTTCTTGTAGATACTCTTATGTGTGTGTTTTTTCCTCTAATAGAATGTAAGATCCTTGCGGGCAGAAGCTATTTAAGTTTTGTCTGTGTTTCATAGTTTGGTAGGTAGGTGATGCAGTGGGTAAAGTGCTAGGCTTGTAGTCAAAAAGACTTGAGTTCAAAGCTGACTTCGGACATTTATTAGCTGTGTGACTATAGGCAATTAACAACTTTTTTTTGCTTCAGTTTCCTCATCTATAAAGTGGGAATAATAATAGCATCTATCTCCCAGGGTTCTTATGAGGATAAAATGAGATAATATCTGTAAAGCAAACCTTAAAGTGTTACATAAATGCTACTTATCATTATTCATTGTTATTATTGCTATGATTATACCTAGGACTAACACAGCACTTAACACATAGGAGATCCTTAATAAGTGCTTACTGATTGACTGATTCATGACTGATTCAGTTCATTCTTAACTGAATACTACACTTCCTCTTCACCAGGATACAGAGAGTTTTTACTCGATCCTCATCCCTGTGTGCCTGAGTACTACCATGGGATAGTGGATCCCTGGATTTGGAGTCAAAAAGACCTGGATTCAAATCCTACCTCAGATACTAGGTATCTGGGTAATTCACTAATTCTCTCTCAGACTCAGTTTCCTCATCTATAAATATCAGGCAGGATAATAGTACCTACCTCACAGAGTTACACGTGTGTGTGTGTGTGTGTGTGTGTGTGTGTATGTACATAAAGTTCTTTGCAGACCTATAAATGCTAGCTATTATGAGTTAAAAACAAATTAGAAGGAAAAAGGAAGGGACTATGCATAGGAATATAGGTACCTGAGCTAGGAATACCTGCTCCAGAGGATCATTTGTTAGACGGGGATGGATTTTTTTGTCCAGTTGTACTGAAATTAGAGGGCAGCTAGGTGTTACAGCAAATAGACCACTGGGTCTGAAGTCAGGAAGACTCCTCTTCCCAAGTTCAAATTGAGCCTTAAGCACTTACTAGCTGTGTGACCCTGGGAAGTCACTTCACCCTGTTTTCCTCAATTTCCTTATCTGTTAAATGAACTGGAGAAGGAAATGGCAAACCTCTCCACTATCTTTGCCAAGAAAACCCCAACTGGGGTCACAAAGAGTCAGATACTGCTGAATAACAGCTGAGATCAGGGGAAGGGAACAATAACATTCATTATGTGCCAGGCACTATGCTGAGCACTTTACAATTATTACCTCATTTGAACCTCACAACAACCCTAAAGGGTAGGTGCTATTGTGATCCCTATTTAATAATTAAGGAAACTAAGCCACACAAATGTCAGAGGCTGGGATTTGAACTCAGGTTTTCCTGACCCCAGCACTCTATCCACTGTGCTATACAGCTGCCTCCATACCATGTATGAGTCTCTGTCCAACTGAGAAAGCGGGTTAAAAAATATGACTTTGTTCTCCCTGGCCAGGATGACTTAGGAGTAACGTCATGGCATACTGTAAAACACCTGGGGGTCAAAGTCAGGACAATGGGAGCCAGGCCATCTTTAACCTTCTTCTTTAACCTGGGGCAAGCTATTGGGCCTCAATTCCCCCATCTGTAAAATGAGAAGGCTAGATAAGGACCCTTTCATCCCTAAATCTATAGCGCTTTGAAGGGGAACTCATTATCTCCTGGGATATCCCATGATATTTTGTGGCAGCTCTAATTGTCAGGAAGTTTTTCTCAACATGGGAGCCAAATTTTTCCTTTTTATTTTACTTTCTCCCACTGTTCCTCACGTGGCCCTCTATGGTCAAACAGGACAAGTCTCACCCTTCTTTCCCTGGAGAGCCCTTCAAATATTTGAATAAAGCTAGGACATCTCCCCTTCCCCTAAGTCTTCTCTTCTCCAGGCTAACGTGCCCTGGTCCTTCCAAGCAATCCTTCACTGACATGGCTACAGGGGATTCTGAGGATAGCAGAGGGACTGAGAAGAAGGCCTTTCAGAATCTCCTAGCATCCTCTGCTCTCATACTCTTATGATCAGCCATGGCTGCTCCAGGTGTCTGGAGGGAGGAGGGGACACATGTTTGCAGAATAAAGTAGGTCATAGGGTAGACAAATGAAGTCCATTGTGTAGAGATGGGCCATTCGTGAATCACTCAAGAGGAAAAATTGAAATTCTGGCTCCAGATCCCTTCTGACAGTTAAAGACACCAGCTGGTTCTAAACGAGACTGTAAACAAATCTGCTGAGCCTAACTCACTGGGCATGAGGTCGCCTGAAGTGGAGATTCAGAATTTTCACAGGGGCTTTGTCCTATTATGTTTTCAAGGGGGAGAAATGAGACCATGCAGTTTGCTGCAGACTTTCTTATACCATGATAGGTATCAAATGGGAAAGTGACAAATATCTCTAGAAGCACGGTGTTACTCAAAAGGAAGGGCTTTGCTACATATAGATCAGTGGGACCATTTAAAACTGGAGGGAAATCATACTAGGCCCCAATTCCTCTCCACTCCTTCCTGCCTTGGTGAGACCACTGGGGGAAGCTGAAAGGACAAACTGAATAAATCATCTGCAGGTAGTGTCAGCCAACGGTTTAGCCTTGGTACTCAGATCCACAGCTCCTCTGGAGGGGCTAAGCTAGAATTGTCCAACCTGGTGGCTCTACCTGGGTTGGTCAGAGCTCATATAGAAGGATGATAGATTTAAAGCTGGACCTTAGAGGTGGAGTCCTACTCCCCCCCCATTTTACAGATGAGGAAAGTGAGGCTCCGAGGTTAAGTGACTTTTTCAGAGTCACACTGCTAGTAAATGTCTGAGACAGGTTTCAAACCTGCATCTTCCTGACTCAAATCCAGGACTCTTAATCCACTGTATCATGTTGCTGTTAAGGTGTGCAAAGCAGTTTCTTCAGACCAATCCTGTGAGGTAGGTCCTGCAGGTCTGAGTTTCCTGATTTTTCAGATTGGGAAACTGAGGTTGAGAAAAGCAAAGAGAATGCTCCAGTGGAAAGAGTGCTGGATTTGACCTCAGAAGATCTAGGTTAGACTCAAGGCTACTTCATGTACTACTATCTGACTGTAGGCAAGTCATTTTCTCTTCTCTGGCCCTCAGTTTCCTCATCTGTAAGGTGAGGAGATTGGACTAGATGGTCTCAAAGGTTCCTTTCCAATGTAAGTTCTATGATTCTATGGATTTCCTCAGTCACCCAGCTAGTAAGTGTCAGAGCTCAGAATCAAACACAGGTCTCCTGATTCCAAACCCAGGGCTGTCCCCACTCAGCTTGACTACTCCATGGAAATACAGCCCCCAGCACTTGCTGTGGATGTTTATTTGCTTTAGGTCTCATGGACAGGGTGGCTTGGAGCAATTCAGTCCTCCCTCACACTTACCTTCTCTCTGTTGCTGTGGGCAGTGAGAGATCTATGGGCTGCCCCTCTCAGTGCTGTCCGGTAGTTATAGAAATTGCCCGTGGGGTCCATCTGGTGCTGGAAACAAAACCGGAAAAGACCCCATTTACTCCAGTAACATGCCTGGGTGGTTGGGTTTGCTTATAGCTCAAAAAGGCAGTGCTTAAAGCATATTCAGAGACCACAGTCAGGATGCAGGGCCTCCTTTCTCTTTACCTCAAGGATGAAAAACTTGGCTGTCTTCACTTTGGACCATGTCTTCTTTAGCCTGGAGACAGGGCTCATGTTCATGCCCGCTGGAAGAGAGACATGAGGGAGAGGAAAAGGGGGTCACTCAGTTGCCTGCCTCCTCTTCCTCACCGCCAGGTAAATGCCACATTTAGAGGCAGCTACTCACAGATGATTGCCATCAGTGAATTGAAATTCCCAATGTTGAAGCACTCCCGAGCCACATCGATGAAGAACTCAATCACTTGAGCTCTCTGCTTCTTTTTGGCTGGCTAAAGAAAAGCAAAGACAGGAGCACCTGCTGTCAGGGATGTAAGACTAGATCTCTAAAGCCAATTGGAAAGTGGCATCTTCTGCGTACTACCTGTGTGGCCTTGGGCAAGTTATTCAGCCTCTCTGGACCTAGTTTCTTATTAGTTAAGTAAGGAGATGGAGCTCTAAAGTCTTTTCAATGAATTTGGGACTACCATGGATCTTAACAGAGATAATGGTTCACTGAACACCGTCAGGCAAGGCTGGCAGAATCTGGATGCCTTCTGCTGTGGTCAAATTAGGCTTCTGGGGACTCTTTGCTTATTGAAGCAAAGACTCATTCCTGGGCTTGCTTATTTCTGGACCCTGAGGGGCTGAATAGAACAAGGTTGGGGGTGGGGGTGGGTTTCCTCCAGTGGTGGGGCCGTTTTGCTTACCATGCAGATTTCAGTTGCCACAAGGTAACACAGACGGTTGAACCATTTCACATAGGCTTCAAGGTTATTTGTTTTGTTCTGGTCACTGAAACAAGACTGGAAAGAAGATGCATGTATTATTTAGAGATGCTGGCATTGCTCAAAACACAGAGGCAGGAGGAGTGATGATGATGGCTACAGGTTGAAGATGTGATCAGGGGACCACTTCAGGGAAGCATTTAGAGTAGATGAAACAGGGGTGCGGGAGGAAGTGATGCAGGAATAGAGAAGAAGCTGATGGACCTACAATATGCATTCATTCATTCAATAAGCATTTATTAAGCACCTATTTTCCATTGTGCTAGGCCCTGGAGATACAAAGACAAAAAAACAAAACAGCCCTTGACCTCAGGAAGTTTGAGTTTAATTGCAGCCCAACAGAAGTATCTCTGACTCTGTGCTCATTCCTATTAAACCTAAGCCAACATGAAGGCTTGATTGCATGACTCTCAGCTCAATCTCAACCCAAACTCTTCCTCCATCTTCTTCTCACTTCAACTCCATTTTCTCTCCTCCTCTCCCCAAATTCCTTCCTTTCAATGTAAGTATGGGACTTTATCCCACCATTGGGACTTTCACCTTTACCCTAAATCTATTTGGGTCTTTAAATTAGAATTGTTCTGCTTAGCTCTAGAGGACCAAATAAGAAGATGGAAGATGCAGAGGGGCAAATTAGTCTGAATGTCAGGGAAACAACAACAAAACACCTTCCTAATTTTATAACCTATCTCAAAATAGAATGGGCTACCTTGGTAGAGGGCAATCTAGATGACCACTTGTTGGGATACTTGTTTAGGAACGTCTTGGACTCAATCGCTCCTAACATGCCTTCTAACTCTGATCTTATTCTTCCATGTCTTTGACTTAACAGAAACTTGGCTTCTCTTAGACACTGACATATCGTTGCTCCGTAGGGACCTCACCTTCTCCCAGTCACACTGACTCAGTTTTACCTTCACAACATCTCTTGCAACCCTTTGTCTTCACCCATGTAACTACCACCCAGTTTAGTCCCTCTCCCTTAGATGACCAAAACCCCTCCTAATTGGCCTCCCTCTCTCAGGTCTCTCAGCATTCCAGTCCATCCTATACACTGATGCCAAATTTAATTTTCCACAAATACAGATCTGACCATGTGGCTCCCCTGCTCAATCAACTCTGATGGCTCCCTATCGCCTGTAGGACAAAAATATAAACCTCTTTGTTTAGCTTTGAAAACCCTACTCAACCTAGCTTCCAATTATCTTTCCAGCCTCAATGGATACTACTCCCCCTCCTGTACTCTGGAATCCAACTAAATGGGCTTTTTCTCTCTTCCTCACATACAACAATCCATTTTCCATTTCTATGCCTTTTCACTAGCCATCCCACATGTCCATAATTCACTCCTTCTTTACCTCTGCTTCATAGATGTGCCCTCTTACTTTAAGACACAGCTCAAAAACTATCTTCTATGTGAAATTTTTCTTGATCCCTCCAAATGCTAGTGTCCCCCAAACTACTTTATATTTAATGATTTTGTATTTACTCATTTTACATTTATTTAGTATTTACACACACACACACACACACACATATACTTATATCTGTTTGGTATATACTCATATGTACCTGTTGTCTCCCCCATTAGAATATAAGCTCCTTGAAGGTTGCCTTGTTTCTTTCTTTCATTTTTAGTATTTGCATCCCCATCACTTAGATTCAGTGCCCTGGTAGGAACTTAATACTTGTTGATTGATTAGGTGTCCACACGTGAGACCACCTCCCTCACCCTCAGACCTGTGAGGGCTTGAATTTTGACTCTGTTCATTCTCTGACCGCAGTCTCATCTCACCTGCCACCTCTCCCATAATCACTCAACCAAATTCTACTGGTTTTTTCTTTGCTGCATCTATAGGACTGATTCCTTTTTGGCCATTCCTACTGCCCTGCTAGTCTTGTCTCTGATCTTGAGTTACTGAAAAGTAGCTGTTCTCCCCGTGGGTCCAGTCTTTCCTCTTTTAGTAACGTCAGCACGCTCCTGTCAGGTTACTTTTTGTCTAAAATGCCACTTTGACCAAGATTAGGAGGGAAGCAGAAAATTAGGAAAGAATTTTAATAACCAGTGTCTCTGATAAGGGCCTCATTTCTAAAATATATAGAGAAGTAAGTCATATTTATAAGAAGACAAGTCATTCCCTGATTGATAAATGGTCAAAGGATATGAACAGGCAGTTTTCAGATGAAGAAATTAAAGCTATGTATAGTCATATGAAAATACTCTAAATCACTATTGATTAGAGAAATGCAAATCAAAACAACTCTGAGGTACCACATCACACCTATCAGATTGGCCAACATGACAAAACAGGAAAATGATAAATATTGGAGAAGATGTGGGAAAATTGGAACACTAATGAATTGGTGGCATTGTGATTTGATCCAACCATTTTGGTTTTTTTTTTCTTTTGGCTAGGCAATGGGGTTAAGTGACTTGCCCAGGGTCACACAGCTAGTATGTGTTATGTGTCTGAGGCCGGATTTGAACTCAGGTCCTCCTGAATCCAGGGCTGGTACTCTATCCACTGCGCCATCTAGCTGCCCCCCTGATCCAACCATTTTGGAGAGCAATTTGGAACTATGCCCAAAGGGTTATAAAAATGCACATACCCTTTGACCCAGCAATAGCACTTCTAAGGCTGTATCCCAAAGAGATCATAAAAATGGGATAAGGACCTGCATGTACAAAAATATTTATAGCAGCTCTTTCTGTGGTGGCAAAGAATTGGAAATCGAGGAGATGCCTATCAATTGGGGAATGGCTTGAGCAAGTTGTGGTATATGAATGTAATGGAATACTATTGTGTAATAAGAAATGAAAAACCTGGAAAGACTTGTATGGACTGATGCTGAGTGAATTGAGCAGAACCAGGAAAACATTGTACATAGTTACAACCACGTTGTGTGATGACTAACTTTGGTAGACTTAGCCTTTCTCAGCAATGCAAGTATCTAAGACATCTCCAAAAGCCTCATGATGGAAAATGCTATCCACATCCAGAGAAAGATCTATAGAGTTTGAATGCAGATTGATGCATACTATTTGCTATTTTTTTTCTTCTGTTTTGTTTCCTCTTTCATGTGTCCTCCTATTGGTTCTAATTCTTCTTTACAACACGACTAATGCGAAAATATGTTTAATAGGAATGTATATGTAGAGCCTATACCAGATTGCACATCGTTTTAGGGAGGGAGGGAGGAAGGGAGGGGGAGAAAATTTAAAACTCAAAAGCTTATGGAAGTGAATGTTGAAAACTAAAAATAAATTAATTTTTAAAAAATGTCACTTTGTTCAAGTCTCTGCCTCATTTGATGACTTATTCACTGAACAAACATTTACTGAGTGCCTAACTCTGTCCAAGGCTTTGTGCTACTGGATAAGGATATGGTGATGATAAAGATACAAGGCTTACCCTTAAAGAATTTACTATCATAGAGGGGAGATAAGAAAAGAACACAAATAGGTAATTAAGATAAGTCCCATTGTGATAACCACATCAGAGAGGTCCTTCTGCACCTCTATGCCAGTCAGTGGTTCTCAAAGTTTTCAAACTCAGGATCCCTTTATGCTCTTAAAGATTACTGAGGACCTCAAAGAGCTTTTGTTGATTTCAGTAATATCTATTGATATTTGCCACATTGGAAATTTAACTCATTTATTAACTGGTCATTTAAAAATTTTATTAACTCATTACATAGCAATAAATCCATTCTGTTGTATAAATAACATATTTTTATGAAAAATGTATTTCCCCAAACCAAAAAATTAGTGAGATAAGTAGCATTGTTTATGCCCATTTTTATAGACCTCTCTAATACTGGCTTAGGTTTAACAGGAATGAGCATGAAGTCAGAGACACTTCTGGACTAGAAAACAACTGGATTCTCCTATCTCCTCCTGCAATCTGTTGCAATACATTAAGTTGAAGTATATGAAGAGAATTCAGTCTCAAATAGATATGTTGCTGGAAGGAGGAAGAGTATTTTAACAGGCAAATAACAGTATAATTCTGAAGACAGTTTTGACCTTGAGAACCCTCTGAATAGGTCTCAGGAACCCTCGGGAGTCCATGAACCACACTTTGAGAACTACTGTACTATAAGAAGAGAGAGGAAAGTGAAGACAACTTCTGACTGATGAGACCAGGGAAGGTTTCATGGAGGAGAGGACATTTGGGTTAGTCCTTGGAAAATGGGTAAGATTTCAGCAGGTGAAGACTGGGGATGGAAGATAGGGAATAGAAAAGTGGGAGGAAGGAGAATCCTAGAAGGAGGGGAATAGAATGCAACTGATGTATTTAAGACTGTCAAATTATCCAATTTGGTTGAAGCAGTTCAGTGAATGAAGGAAAGTAGTGAGAAATAAGACTTGAAAAGCAGGTTGAGGCTAGACCATAGAAGGCCCCCAGGCTTAAGAGTTTGGGGCTTTTTATGACATACAATGACAAGCCATCGAAGGTTATAATACCCTGCAACATAGCAAACCTGTAACCAATTTGTATCCATATCTTCCCCCTACCAACTAGGTGACATAGAGGTCAAGACTTGAGTTCAAATGTGACCTCAGATACTTGATAGCAGTGTGACCCTGAGCAAGTTATTTAATCTCTGCTGCCTCAGTTTCTTCAACTGTAAAATCAGGATAATAATAGAACAACCTCTCTCCCAGGGTTGTTGTGAGGAAAAACTGAGATATTATTTGTAAAGTGCTCTTCAAACCTTAAAGCACTACATAAATGCTAGCTATTACTATTAGTACTATTGTTATTAATATTGTGGTTCCCGGGTGGTAAACTCCATAAAGGCAGAAACCATATGATTAAGAGAGATCAGAAGGTCACAGATGCCATGCTTTATTCATCTTTGTGTCTCTCCAGGTGACCAACACAGGGTCCTGGATGTAACAGAAACTCAGGAAACATTTCTTGAGTGAATGAACAAATGAATAGTGTTAATGTTAATGTCTAATGCTTTTAGTAGGTCTTTATCCGTTTTTTGTATTTATATGTATTGTAAAGTAGCCACTAGAGGGCAACCGTGTACACAAGCTATTCCATTTAAAGTGAAACTGATTTTCTTTTTCAAGAGCAAGTGTTAAGGTTAGGGTTAGGTTGCAGGAATTACAAGATCAATGAGACAGAGGTCTAGGGGGCCCTAAAGGTCATCTAGTCCAACCCCAACATTTTACAGATGAGGAAACCGAGGCCCAGTTTCAGCACTCTTTCCATTATAACAAGAGAATCACAGAACATCAGCCTGGAAGGGCCACTAGAGGATCTAGGCAACCCTCTCAGGTGGGAAACTGAGGCCCAGAGTGGGGAGAGGATTGAACCAGGATCCCACATCCCGGTGTCACAGTGTATGGAGAAATGGGTCTAGAGTCAGGAAGACCTGGGTTTTAATCCTACCTCAGACATGAGCTGTATGGCCCTGGGCAAGTTACATCTCAATCAGCTTTGGTTTCCTAATGTGAAAGGGGGACAATAATAGCCCCTACCTCACCAGGTTGTTGTAAGGATCACATAAGATCACATTGGTAAAGCACTTAGCCCAGTGCCTGGCACAGTAGGTGGTTAATAAATGTTTGCTCCCTTCTCTTCCCCTTCTCTAGTGGCAGACCTAGGGATAGGAGTGAGGTTAAGATACAGATACACCATGCTACCTTCCTAGCTCAATGACTGAGTTTCTTTCTGTGTGTATGTCTTCTTTACAAGGTGCTGAAGGGGACAGGTACAGTCAGGGTTGACTATGGTTGTGCCTGCAGGTCTTTAGACACTGACATGAGGCTCCTTCTGCTCCTAGGCTATATCCACTTCCTAGTCCTACCCCAAACAGCCTGCTTTTCTCTGGGTCAGAAATCTACCCAGACTTTTAGCTAGCATAGCATTTATACTGTGCTTTGAGGTTCACAAAGGACTTTGCTACTTTATCTGATCTGATCCTCACAACATTTATGATACCCATTTTACAGATGAGGAAACTAAGGCTGAGACAGGGTCACTGACTAGTCCAGGGCTCCATGGCTAGTGCATGTCTAACATGGGATTCAAACTCAGGCCTTCTGACTCTTAAGGCCAATGCTCTATCCACTGTGGCACCTTGCTGCCTCCCAGAGTATTTGAGCTGGAAAGGCCCTCATAAATCATCTAATTCAACCCTTTACTTTATAGATGTGAAAACTGAGACCCAAAGAATTACCTGACAAAGGGCATAAAGTAAATGAGTTGCAGACTAAAATCCAGGTGTCTCGATGCCTAGCTAGTCCAAGGCTCTTTCATTGCATCATGCCTGGGATACAGAGCCTTGTGACACATAGACATAGAGGTCAATATGGCCCTAGGATGCCTTGCTCCCATGGAACAAGTCGAAGTGATGGTTCCAAGGTCCTTTTCCTAGAACAGGAGCTCAACCTTTTTTTTTTGTACCGTGGAGCCCTTTGGCAGAAACTTATGGTCCCTTTCTGAGAATAATATTATTAAATGCATAAAACAATGTTCATAGAATTACAAAAGAAACCAATTACAGTGAGACATAATAATGATGATGATAGCTAGCATTTATATATGTGTCAGGCACTGTGCTAAGTACTTTGTAAATATTATTTCATTTGATCTTCGCAACAACCCTGGGAAGCAGGTGCTATTCTTACCCCCATTTTACAGATGATGAAACTGAGGCAAAAAGATGTTAAGTGACACAGCTAGTGAGTGCTGAGGCTGGATTTGAACTCAGATCTTCCTGACTCCAGACCCAACACTCTATCCACTGAGTCACCCTGATAATTATCAAAATATTAAAAAGATAAGTTCATAGACACCAAGTTAAAAAAAACCCTTTCCTAGAGAAATCTACAATTCCTATGACAAGGCCTTGTACATAATAGAGACACTAACATTGTTATTTTTGGGAGGGAGGGAGGAGAAACAGGAAGGAATGAATGCCCTCTTACCTTTGTGCTGTCCAAAGAATCTTTATGCACAAAAGCCTGGACAAATTCTTCAGGTCCAATGTGACTCAGCCTTTCCTGGAAAGAGAGGGAGAAGAAGAGCAGCCCCAAGACTCAGGAGCGATACAGCCAAGGGCACTGATGCTGCTGCCACTGTCTGACTCAGAAACCTGTGCGGAGGCCATGCGCCCTGCACCGCCATCCTCTCAACTTCCTGTGTCCAGTCTGATCAGTGTGGAAACAGGAGTTAGGGAAAGCCTCTCATTTACCCTCATGATCTGCCCGGATTAGCCTGGGTCTCATTTACCGTACGCTGGGGGTGGGCGTAAGGCTGGGAAGGAGCAGCCTGTGCTCCCAGTCCAGCTGCCTGCCCACATTTGCACCACCCTGCTGCCCAGACAGACACAGACAGGTTTCTGAGCCGACCAAGGCAATGACCACTTTAGCAAACCTGTTACTTCATCATCGTCATTATCAACAACCACAGATTTATTTTTATAGAGCACTTATATTATATATAATGTATATGTATCATTTATATTTATAGAGCACTTTACATTACAGTGGAGGTTGAATGAACTAGGGGAGGAGGACAGCAGAGGTTGAGATGGCCTACAGCAGATATGTTAAATATGCTGCCACGAGGCTCCTGAATGCAACCAAACCAGATGAAAATATAATTAGGAAAATATTTAACAAAATAAACTTTAAAATACAGTAAAACATAGGGAACATTAAAACTAAGTCGGTATGTGACCAGCAGGGATCCTTACGTACAGATATGTGGCTGCTTTTCTATTTGAGTTCTGACACCACTGGCCTAGAGGGACCAAGCTGGGATGGCCCAATTAGATCAGTTCAGCTGCTGTGACACGTACATTATCTCATTTGAGCCTCATAACAACCTTGTGCGGTAGGTACCCTTTGTGGTAACTCCAGGTATTATTATCCCCATCTTACAGATTAAGAAACTTATGCTCATTCAATTCAAAAAATAAACATTTTGTTTTGTGGTTGTTAAGTCATGTCCTACTCTTTGTGATCCCAACTGGGGTTTTCTTGGTAAAGATACTATAGTGGTTTTGCCATTTCTTTCTCTAGCTCACTTTACTGATGAGAAAATTGAGGCAAACAAGGTTAAATAACTTGCCCATAGCCACACAACTAGTAAGTGTCTGAGGCCATATTTGAACTCAGGTCTTTCTGACTCCAGGCCTGACATTCTATCCACTGTGCCCCCTAGCAGCCCTGAAATATTCATTTTTTTTAAATAATTTTTTTTGTAGGCAATTGGGGTTAAGTGACTTGTCCAGGGTCACACAGCTAGTGTCAAGTGTTTGGTCTGAGGCCGGAGTTGAACTCAGGTCCTCCTGACTTTAGGGCCGGTGCTGTATTCACTGTGCCCCCTAGCTGCCCTGAAATATTTATTGAGCTCCTACTATATACCAGGCACTGTGCTAAGTGCTGGGGATGCAAACAGAGGCAAAAGATAGTGCCTGCCCTCAAGAAGCTTTCAATCTAATGGGAGAGACAACCTGCAAAGAAATAGCACAAAGCAAGCCACATTTGGATAAATAGGAAATTATTAAAATAGGAAAAGCCCTGGAATTAAGAGGGGTTGGAGAAGGCTTCCTATAGAAGGTGGGATTTTAATCGAGACTCAGAGGAAGCCAGGGAGGTGGCAGCAGAGGAAAGAGAGCATTCGTGGTATGAGTAACAGCCTGAGAGAATGTCTTGAGCTAAGAGATGGAACAAGCAGGAGGCCAGTGTCACTGGACCAAAGAGTATGTGTCAAGGAGCAAGGGACAAGAAGATAGGAAAGGTAGAAGGGGACTAGGTTATGAAGGGCTTTGAATGCCAAACACAGCATTTTGTATTTGCTCCTGGAGGTGATAGGAAGCCTACTCAATAAGGAAGAGTGAGGTTAAGGGACTTGCCCCACCGTCACCCAACTAGAAAGCATTGGGGATAGAGTCAGATACAGGCCTCCCTGACTGGGTCTGACTCCTCTTCAGTACCACATGCTGCCCCTTTCTTGCCTATACAGACATATACCTTATCACACATACACACCTACAATTTGCCTTATAGGCCTTTTGTGGCAGAGGCAGTGTTTAATTTGGTCAGTATAATGAAGGGTCTTCGAGATACTAATAAACCTCCACACTTTACTCTGCTGTCAAACAAAACAATGATCGCCAAGTGCCCTGTAATGGCCAGACACTTGAGAAAGTGAACCAGTGTCACTGTGGTCCCCCCAAGAAGGGCTCTGCTCTGGGAGGGACACCTGTCAACATGCCGGTAAGCTGAATAAAAATGGCATTAAACAAGCTCTCTTTCTCAAACTGCACTGGTTCATCATTGGAGGATTAGGGTGTGCACACATATGTAATTGTACATGAGAGTGAGTGTGTGTGTGTGAGAGAGAGAGACAGAGACAGAAAGACAGAGAGAAGGGATGGAGAGAGAAGGGAGAGAGTAAAAAAGAGGGAGAGGGAGAGAGAGGAGAGAGAGAGAGAGAGAGAGAGAGAGAGAGAGAGAGAGAGAGGAGGGGAGGGAGGATGGAGGGAGAGAGAGAGAGAAGATAATTCCTTTGCACAGATAACTGGGCAGACACATGAAATAGTGACCATTCAAATCCTGCCTTTGACACCACTGTGACTGTGGGTAATTTATTCTCCCACCCCCACCCCAGCCTCAGTTTCCTCATCTATAAAATAGGGACAATAGTACCTTTAGTACCCACCTCACAGGGTTGTTTTGAAGTTCAAATGACACAGTGCATGTAAAGCATGTTGTGAAGTTTAAATTCCTTTATACACAATAATTCTTCGTCTCATTATTGATATATCTTGACTCTTAACCTTGGGGAGGGGGACAAAAAACTGATACTGGATGGAGTAACTGAATGGTTTTTCTAGCATGTGTTTTTGCAGATGTCCCTAGGAAGAGAAATGCCCTGGCTGGTGTGATTCTGGGCTTCCAGAAGCCTCTGGTCTGGCTTGGTGTGCACATTTACAGATCTCCAAACCCCACAGAGGCTGAGCACTGGAATGCTTACTGCCTACGGGGAAGGGGACCTCAGGAGGAAACACACTCTTCTCCCCTATGCGGAGTCTAATAACAGCATTTACAGGAATACTGAGGGGCTCAAGATATGTTGGAGTTTAAAACTTAAGACCGAATGTAAGCAATCAGCCTGGTTAAAGCCAAGATTCTGCTGGATTCTTACGGCTGGTCTCTGAATGAAGAGGAGCCTGCTATGAGTGATGTCTCCACTGGAAGAACCTGCTATCCATCCCATTCCCTTCTTCTAGACCAGTGGGGAGGGCTGGAAGGAATCTTAAGGGTCCAAATGAGATAAACCTTAGAGTGCTCTATCGTCATAGTTCAACCCTCTCATTTTACAGAGAAGGAAACTGAGTCTTAGAGAAGGAAAGGAATTTATTCAGGGTCACACATTCAGGGAATGGCAGACCTGAGGCCAGAAACCTGATTGCTTGGAGGTTTGATGAGCCCTTTTGTATGTCTGGTGCAAAATGGATCGAAGGCTAAATTTGTAGAATTGCTACATGAAGAAATCAAGTGGGACCTATAGTATCTCTTCTACTTCTCTGAAATGAAAACTAGACTTTGAAAATAATTCCATTACTTGTTGGTAGATTCAGATTTATTATTATTATTATTATTATTATTGTTGTTGTTGTTATTATCAATCATTAGTACCTAGTATTTACAAAGCACTTGAAGGTTTGCAAAATGCTTTAATATGCTCTCTTATTTGATTCTCACAAAGACCCTGAGGGAGAGTCTATCATTATCCTGATTTTGTAGATGAGCTTACTGAGGCTTACAGTGGTTTAGTGACTTGCCCAGGGTCTTAGCTGAACTCAAGTCTTCTTCACTCCACTCCACTTCAGTCTTCTTCACTTCAACTACACCAGGGGTGGGGAAACCTGTGGCCTGGAGGCCACATGTGACCTTCTAAGTCCTTGGGTGTGGCCTTTTGCTTGAGTCCAAGTTTTACAGAACAAATCCTTTTATTAAGGGGATTTGTCCTGTGAAGTTTGGATTAAGTCAAAAGGCTGCACTTAAGGATCTAGAGAGTCACATGTGGAAGGCCTTAGGTTCCCCACCCTTAAACTAGACCTCCTAGCTGTGCCTCAAAGCCACCATTCCACAGAAACTGAAAAGAGCAATGATTTCACACCCAAGTTGCAGTAAGGGTATATATCTCCCCACCCAGACAGAAAATAATTCCTGGGGCTTGATGCAAACCTTGTGGAAAACTCCCAGGGGGCCAGGGATTCTGCTTACCAGTTCTACATGGGTCAGCTGCTGGGCCAGAGTGTAAGGGTCACTGCAGACACTCAGGATGTCTCGCTGAATTGAGGGAGGAGGCTTCGTCTTAAAAGAGACAAGCTTATCTGAGACAGTGGCATTGATTTTGACTAGACCTTCCTGTCCATGGCTAAGCGTGGCAAGCTTCTGATTCAGTGCCTGCAGGAGTTGATTCATCCTTTTCCAGTAAGCCTGAAGGAAGGAAAGAGAAAGAGAGAGGGGAAAGGGAATAGGGAGGGGAGAAAAGGGAAGGAAGGGAGGAGGAAAGGGATAAAAAGAATGAGAAAGGGGAGAGGAAGAGAAGGAAGAAGCAGAGAGGAGAAAAGGGGAAAACAAGAGATGAAGAAACATACTTTGGCAATCCTAGGATTACGTAATTTTAAAGCTAGAAGGGACCCCAGGGATGATCAGACACTTGAGACAATTTTCTAGCCCTAGAACATTCCTAACTTAGCTCTGAGTCTATCTTCAGCAAAATTGTGGCACAGCAGAAAGTGCATGATACTTAGAGTCCAAAGACCTGATTATTGTGCTAATAGAGGAAACAGAAAGACATCTCTTGGAAATGGGTGAAGAGAATTGGTGGATTCAGAGCACCCTTGAACAAAAATCTCTTAGTAGGAAAGGAGACAATTTTCATCCTGGTGAACTGAAAGCTGTAAGTTCTTTGATTAAAAAAAAAAATGAAACCTAGATACTGACAAGTCCAAAGACCAATGGTGCTACCCTGGAAACCACAACACTGGAATTTGTTTTGTAATGTCTAAGGCAGGGCCCATGGTCCCAGACCACATGCAGTTCCCCAATACTCCTGAGTGAGAGGCCCCAACCAGGTTAAAGTGTAACAGGGAAATATTTAAAAAAATTAATAAAAATCCAATAAAACATAGATAATGTTACCTTTTAAAACTAAGTTAATATACAGGCATGACCCTTCCTTTCTCTTTGAGTTTGACAAAACTGGTCTAAGGCATCTGTTTTTCTTATCTCCGATTTTTTAATTTGCTGGCTTTTTTTTTTTTGGTGACTCCATGGACAGCTCATAGGCAGCAAGCAGACAGTCTCAAGCAGGGATCCAAGAGTCTGCAGCTTCTGCATCCTCCTTTTCGTTAGCCGTGTTGCTATGTGGTCAATCAGCCACCGGAGCTGCTTCCCCCTCAGCAGTTCTTTGAGGTTTCCATGGAGGCTTGCAATTCCCCCAGAAAAGAGGCAAAAAAAAGGGGTCTTGAGGTCGAGCTTCAATCCAGAAGCCCAACATGTAAGCCTTTTTTATTCACTGTCACCATTGTCACCAGGGAGTAGCAGAGTGCTGAGAATAGTTTATCTTCATCAGGCAGCTGCCTGCCCCTGGGCCCCTAAAGAACTCCAGAGCAAGACCAGGACTTATTCATTCACTCATTCATTCATCCCTGAGATGCTTCCTGGTCACCTGCTCAGCTCAGGACCCTGTGCTGGGTTGTACTATAGAGAACACAGAGAGGAAGAAGAGGCAGCATATGGAGCTCATAGACCAGTGAGGAGATGACAGTCATTTGTTCAACATCTAGCAAACACAAAGGAGCCAGTGCAAGGTGCTGGGAATGCAAAGATCTATAAGACATGGTCCTGGGCCTCCAGGAGCTGAATCAGGGAAACAAATGTGGTAAATAAATGTGAAGATGTAAAAAAAATCAATGTAAGACAAATCAGACTATGAAGAGTGAATAAGGAGAGTGTAGGACAGTAGACATAGGGGTCAGCATTGGGGTCAAGAAGACCCAGGTTCAAGACCTGCCTCTGCCATACACTGGCTCTGTGACCCTGGCCAAGTCATTTACCATCTTGGTGCCCCCAGGCAACTGGAAGTTCTACTGAGTTGCCACCCTGCATAGTGAAGGGTATTTCTTTACTATAAGCTCCCTATAATGATGTGATAATCACAGAACTGGGCCAAAAATAAAGGGCATAAAAAGATTATAAAGTGCAGTTAAATCAGCTGAGGGTTGTATAGACCAGTGGTATCAAACTCAGATAGAAACAGATCCCTGCCAGCAGCATATTGACTTAGAAAACCATAAGTTAACATTATCTATGCTGTGTTCCATTAGGAAGACCTGAGTTCAAATCGGACCTCAGACACTAGCTGTGTGACCCTGAGCAAGTCACTTAACCTCTGTTTATCTGAATTCACTGGAGAAGAAAATGACAAACCACTCTAGGACCTTTGCCAAGAAAATTCCATGGACAGCATGTTTGTGCTATTGTCCATGAAGTTACAAAGAGTTGGACATGACTGAACAACTGAACAATAGCAAATTGCATATTTATTTTGTTAATATTTCCCGATAACATTTTAGTCTGATTTGGGATGCATTTGGGAGTTTTGTGGGCTTCTGGTCTAGGCCCTTCAAGGCCTTAATAACCATTTCAGGATCTGTGAGGTTTGCTACCTTCACTTTTGTGTACCTTTGTATAGAAGGCGATTTTTATAGCTGATGACATTTGGCTGGGGGTCAGGGAACCTTGACAAAGGAAGGGATACTTGAGCTGGGCTTTGAAGGATTGAAAAGGTATCAACAAGCTGAAATAGAAGCGGTATTTCAAAGTGTAGGGCACAGCACAAGCAAAAGTGTGGAGGCAGGGGAAGAAGAGAGAAGGGTGTAGAGAGAAGTTTAGGTAGAGAAAAGCATAGATAGAAGGGAAAGCCTGAAAGATTGGGTGGCACCAACTAGTCGATCAGCAAGCAATTATTAAGAGCTTACTATGGAGCAGGCACTGTGCTAAGTGCTGGAAATACAAATACAAGCATAATAAACTTGCCCCTACCCTCAAGGAGCTTACAATCTAATGTGGAAGAAAACACATAAAAGGAAGCTGAAAAGGGAGAGCAACCTGGTGAGAAATGAAGGGATGGTTGGCAGGAATATCCTCCATTTAGGGGGTCCTAGTAGGAGCTGTAATGACAGAGTAAAGGAGGGTCTTGGAGGCAGAGGGTGCTTTAGTTGTGAAAAGTCTAGGGCTGAAGTGATCCAGGATAAATAGGTTGTAGTACCAGGCTGCAAGTGGCTTTGAATGTCCAGAGGATGAGGAATTTGGTCTTTATTCACAAGGCAGTGGAGAACTATTCAATGTTTTTGAGCAGGAACGTGACATTTTCCAGCCTGGCCAAATCAATACCCAATGATAGGAAAGTAAATTGGCAAAGATGACAAAAAGATGGGAATAGTCAATGTTGGAAGGGTTGTGGGAAGACAATTCCATTAGCACATTGTAGATGGAGCTGTGGATCAGGACAACTATTTTGGAAAATAATTTGGAATTATTCAGATAAAGTGACTAAAATGTCCATATCCTATGACCCAGAGATTCCAGTAGTAGGTTCATGCCCCAAGGAATCCATTGATAAGGAGAAAGTCCCCATATATACCAAAATATTTATAGCAACACTATTTGGGATAGCAAGAATTGGAAACACAGTAGATGCCCATTGATTGGGAATGATTAAACAAATTGTGTTACATGAAGGTAATGGAATTTGACTGTGCATGACAAATATGATGAATACAGAGAAGGATGGAAACAGCTACATTAATTGATGAAGAGTGAAGTAGAAAGGCTCCCCAAAAGTATATAGAATGATTACACCAATGTAAATGCAAAGAACAAGCACCCACACACACACACACACACACACACACACACAAGTGAATTAATTGAAAATGACAAAGAACAAGGATGGCTTGAAAAAAGAGATAGAAGACATCTCTCACTCCACCCCTCTGCACAGGTGGGAGGTCCATGAGTGTAGACTTTTTCTATGTATTGATTACTTATGCTGGGTTTTAAAAAACCACTTCTTTTTCTTTTCTTTCAAAATATTATTTGTTATATAGGATGATTCTCTGAAAGGGGGAGGGGGAGGTACACTGGGGAAAATTATGGTGAAATGAAAAAAAGACAACACTTAATTAACACTTATTTTTTTTTTTTGTAATAGCAATAAGGCAGAGATAGAGAACTATGAGCAAAGTGCTATGGTTCTCAGAGGAGCCAGATTTCTTTGAGCTGAGAGGGTCAGAAAGGAATTAATAAAGGCTAATGGCCAAGACTGAGAGCTTCATTCAGAGCAGCACACAGCCCAAGCTCACACTAGTATAGAGCCATAATTAGCAAAAGGTGATTGGGGCTTTGCCCATGATTGCTGAAATGGATGTGGGATAGATGGATGCTTCCTCCCCACAGTGACCACTGTCCCCATATCTTGTCTTGTCTGATAATCCTCTGCTATATAATGCTACTGTCTCCAAGGTACTATCCTTCCAGGACCCACTTTCCTTACTGATTCCCACATGGGTGTAGACCAGAGTCTCTGAGGAACAGGCTACCTTATCTCTGTCCTTTCTGTCACTGTGGCTGTGCCACTGTCACCCACCCCATCTCCCCTTCCCAACCAAATCTGCTCCAGGAACAATAATTGCCGGTGATGACTTTATACTAGTCAAAGGCTTCAAAGATATGGTCATGTGTTGGTTAGTTTGAACTATTTATCTCTTTTTTTATTCGTTGTCATTAAGGATGGCTCTCTGGGAGGCTGACAGGAGAGGGATACAGTGGGAAATGCAGTGATGTAAAACAAAAGATATCAATAACATTTAAGAGGTCACTCAACTGGCTTGGGAAAGGTCAATGACGCAGCTCCTCAGCCCCAGACTCATGATGCTGCCGGTGAAGGCACTAGGGCTGCTCTGGGTCCTGACTTCATTCTGTTCTAGGGGGTTTGCTCCCTCCACCACTTCCTACAGATGATGTTTTTCACAGATGAACAGACTGCTGAGAAGGAACTGCTTAAATTGGCACTGTTTTAATTACAGTAAACGCAAATGACTGTAAATCTTTAACACACACACACACACACACACACACACACAAAACTACAGCATCTTAACAACACCCACTATATTGCTTTAATTATCCTTCCAGCTTTCTAAAGAAGGGAATGGGGCCCTGCCTATAATTACTCGGAATTCCGTAAGAGGCAGCTGTGGCTTGTGGAGAATTCTGAACTGCAGGCCTTGGAGCAAGGGGGAGGCAGGGAGGAAGGGGGATCCAGTCACGCTTCCTGCACTGTGACATTTCTTGGGCTGCTCTTTCGCTTCTCCCCTCAAGGTCTGGGAGAGAAATAGTGTGTCTCAGTGCTCCGGATCTCCTGCTGC